GGGGGGGGGGGGGTGTTAAAATAAAAACAGGGATTACAATTTTGTAACTTGTAAAGTTTCTTTAATTAACCACTTCAAGACCAGGTGTTTACACCCCCTTCCTGGCCAGGCCATTTTTCAGTATTCAGCGCTGCGGTACTTTGACCGATGTTTATTCCGTCATGCAACGCTCTACTGAAATGAATTTTATACCATTTTTTGGGGGGGGGACAGATAGAGCTTTACTTTGGTGGTATTTATGCACCACTGGGGGTTTTATTTTTTATTATAATTAGAAAAAATTACTGAAAATTTTGAAAAAAAAAACACGTTTTTTTTAACATTATGTTACCCTTTTATGACCGAGGCCTTTTCTTCATTTTTGGCATCCGTGTTATAATCCACATTTTAAGGCCTGAAAATTACTTAAAACCCCCAAAAATTATATATTTTCTGAAAGCCGAGACCCTGTAGAATAAAATGGCGGCAGTTGCAAATTTTTATGTTGCGCGACATTAGCGCAACTTATTATCAAACACAAAAATGTTGTGAAAAATGCGCTTAAGTTAAATTTAGTGCCCCAAAACACTACATGAAAACCATTTTTTTGGTAAAATATAAAAGATGAGTTTACATCGAGTAAATAGATACCCAACATACCCAGGTTAAAAATTGTGTGCATCTGTGAAACGGCGACAGAATTCAGTACCCCAAAAAGTCCATAGACAACGCTTTAAAAGCCCCCCACAGGTCATCACTTTTGAGATACGCATAAATACTGGCCCGAGAATTATTTCTCTCACTCTGGCATGCACAGCGCTACCCAACATGTATAGCGCAATTGTCGTTTACATAGGTGCACCCCGATGCGCGTTTATGTGCCGACACTTGTGGGGCGGGGGACTTTAAAAAAAAAAAAAAGTTTATATTTTTACAACTGGTGTGTGTTTTTGGGTTGTTTCTCTCTCCCCCCTTAATTGCCATCACATAGGGGGGTTTACAAGCCCCCGTGTGATAGCATGATGGTTGTGACAGGTACTCTTTAGGGTCATACTGGGGGTCCAAAAGACCCCCAGTGTCCCCATTACACTCTAAATAAGCACACTCTAAGCTATTGAAGTGCAGATCGCACATCAATAGCTTATAGCTGGGCTTCAGGAGCCGATCAATGACAGCTCAGGGACAGGATGTGGGGCAATACATGTCGCTCTTGATCCCATACTACAGGGAGGAATTCGGTGAACGGAGGTTCGCTGATCTCCTCCCCAGCTTCCCCCCAACACCCAGCAAGCCGGTCTCTGGCCTGTAGGAGGGGCAGCGGAGCCCAGCAAACACCGTGGCCCAGTTACCTGATCGGAAAAGCGATCTGGTGAAAGCTGAGCCGCCAGAATCGCTTCTACTGTATAGCCGGCCGCCGGCTCTACAAAACTCAACAGACTCCCAGTGGCTAAAAGCTGCCGGGAGTCTGTTTTAACCCCTTCAGACTTCATGATGGGATTATCCCGTCATGGGTTGTGAAGGGGTTAAGTAATATCATGTGCAGATGAAGGGTCATGAAAGCTTTGCTCAGAATATGAACGAAATAGTAAATACAATGTCACAATACATTGTAATTACTCAGTGACGCTTGCACCGGAGCGAGCGGCTGCATTTTGACAGCCACTTCTGCCGTGTATTGTAAAGCAATTCCTGGCTGGCAATAGCGTGGGGGGGAGGGGGGACCGACGAGAGATGCGTCCTAAACGTTTTTTAGGCTGTATCTCGTATGTCAAAATCCCCACGTGGTTAAAGTGTATGTCAACCCAAAAACTTTTCCTTGTTTTGGATAGAGTGGGGAAGGATTAGAAGCCCTGGCGGGGTTTTATTGCTGTCGGGAGCTTCATTAGAGAGATTTCTCCTCACTTCCTGTCCTGCTGACATTGGTTTCATCAGATAGGAAGTGAGGGGTACTCAGAGACAGTAGAAATGTACAGATGGCGACTAAAGTCAGAATAACAGAAACAACACCACAGGAAGAATGGAGTTTCACTTTGAAACAACCATATCCTAATTCTAAGCCCATCTGCAGAGATGAGTCACATGATGCCGCTTACCAATCAGCTGTGGGTGTCTTCTGTATAAAGCAGGTTCTTAATCTGTTTTATGAGCTTTTACAGCAACGTGCAACGCGCAGGGAAGGACGGGTCCCCATAGGGGCCAATTCATAAATCATCTTCCCAGCCATACACTGGGCAAATGCCGTTTCATATGCCATTTGCGCCACTAGATGGAGCTGAGGAGCATAGATGTAGATGCTCCTCGGCTCCATCTAGTGGCAGGAATGGTATGCCAGCCGCCTTCGTCCAGCGTATGGCTGCTGGGTGAATGATTTATAAATTGGCTCCTTAACTCACTTGTTACCTATTTTAAAAATCATGATCCTCTCCTTCCTGGCTTGGAGGCCGGCCAGTCATAGTACAGCAATTTTATTTCCATTTGTCATGTGATCCACGCCCTCCCTGAATCATAAGGCGGACTGCTGTTCACTCACCACATACTCTGCATTCTACATTTTTTTTTTTTCTTTCCATTAATAAAATATTCTCGATTTGTCTTTGCATACCGAAGTGCATCCATCTAAGGATTGTTTAAAAGTTCTTGTGAGGGACCCGGCAGTGTAGAAAAAACAAACAGTAGAGAAGCAAATGCAAATATGTGTGTGTGTATGTGTATGTGTGTGTGTATATATGTATATATGTATATTATAAAAGCAAAATAATTTATTTTACTCCGACTGAAGAGGTTGAATAAAACCAATTATAGTTTATAATGCCCGTGCTTCAATACATAAAGTAAAAACAATAGCACTATTGTTCTATGTATTGAAGAAGCATGGCATTGTATATAATAATATAATTGGTTCTATTCAACCTTATTACATTTATTTTTGCTTTTTATAGCAAATAAAACTTAAGTAATTGAATTTGTATTAGTGTGCCTGTAATTCAACTTAAAGGATAACGTCACCTTTTGCAAAAATGTAAAGAAATGCATAATTAATAATATATAACAAAATATGCATTTCTTTGATATTTGCACTCAAGCCTGGAAAGAATTGTGATCACTTGATCAGGGCTGCAAAGCTCAGACTACTACACATTCTCTCCCAGGGGGGTGCGCTTGACTTCAAACTGCATTAAATCACCTCATATACAGCATTCCCCCCTCCCCGCTCCGATCCGCCAGTGCTGACTGGCGGAATGGATGGGGGAGGGGGCGGGTACAGCTGGCTCTGCCTCTAGATAGGCAGAGACAGCTGTCAGTCACGTAGCTGGGCGGATCCCGGCACAATTGTCGGGATCCGCTTCAGCTGCGGCGTCTCAGTATACTGCAAGCTACAGCTCGCGTTATACTGAGCCTAGGGTGACGGGAGGGCGCTAGTTTGTCCTCCCGTTACCTTAGGAGAACTAAGGGGAAAAGCCCTAACCCCATAGTTCTTTAAAGAAATGCATATTTTGATATATATTATTAATTTTTTGCAAAAGGTAACGTTATCCTTTTAAGCTGAATTACTGGCACACAAGTTTTCATTTTTAAATATGTCTCAATAGCCACGAAGGCTATAAATCCACCTTGCGCACCAAATGCCTTTGCAAATCCAGATATGACCTTGTGAAAAATAATGGTGACGTCATCATCAGTGCCTCATGGGCCCGGGGTTGCCGATGTTGCCTACCCCCTGCTTTAGACCATTTACAATGTATTGACAAGTACATATTTTACTATTGTATCATGTCTTTGAACTTGAAGAAAGTATATAATAACAATCTGACTCATTGCTCCTTTTTTTTTTTTTGTGTCTTTGTCTTTTCCGCAGTCACCTTGGACCACAGCAGCGCTGCTTCTGATTGGAGGGTTCCTCTCCGGTATGGTGTGGAGCGAAGCTCTGAGCCTGCGTCTGGTTCGCAGTTGTAGGTGCCAGTATGAGCAGACTCACCAGCTAGATGTGCCAGGGAAGGAGCGTCCTAGGTGCCAAAGAAGGGGCATCGTACTGCCACAGGCAGCGCACAAACGTACAGGGGTGAGTCTGGGGGGGGGACATGAATGAGGACATTCTTACATGTGGGTATGATGGTAGCCTCCCTGTGCCAGAAGAAGCGACTTGGCTCAGCCATGGGGTTGAGCTTTGGGAGGGATCCATGTAGGGTTCCTCCAACTGTTACAGTGGCATGCACGAGGTTAGTGTTGTAGATGGTACAAGTCGGGTCTGGGTGGGTGCAGATTTAGGCACCTGGGTGATCGTTTGGCAGGCGGCTCGGGTGATGGGCACAACATTTGTAGGAGAGACCAGCAACTAACGTTCTCTCCCATAAGTTATACCTTCCTGCTGTACTACGGACATGGGTTGGTGTCACCGTCCCTAGTGGAGACCAGCTTTCTAGTTCTGGACAGAGTATCAGGTATTTCTTGCTGTA